CAGAATGTGCTAAAATAAAAATCAAAGTCTTATCTACCTTAATATGATCATATACGTGTAACAGCAACAATATACAAATGTGGGAAAAGGACAGCACCGCCAAAAATGACAAAACGCTCTATATTTGAGAGTAATTATGGTGTGAAAAAACCTAACTCATTGTAGTAGTAATTAAGGGAGCCTGGTTACAATTAAGCACAGGAAGGATATTAAAACTTCCAAAAGATATTTCTTTAAGCCACAACAAAAGAATAAGAGCAAAAGAATAATTGGAACCACATCCAAACCCACTTCCTTGTTATTTACCAGTATCATCTAAGAACACTGCTTAGATGCTGACATTAGACAATCTTCAGTGAACAACTTTAAATCACATTAAGACTAAAAGAAAATCAAAAGAATTTTATGACAAGGGTTAAAAGTTTAGAGCCTTGAAACTACAAAAAATTTGGTACTCACTACAAACCACATCCCGGCAACCAATATGTCTCTGCAATGAACTACTTAAAATGGTTTTGTTGTGGTTGAGGCAATCATCTCTGAGTTAATAATTAGCTACTAGTCAAATCAAGTGTAATTTGTCTATTGTATGCTAGCTCACTTTTAAAAGAAGTACAAAATCTCATTTTTAGCAGCAACATTGAATGTTATAATCATTCATTTGTCATCCGATGTAATGCAATCAAAACAAGTAGAAAAGCATGTTTTTACCACTACATGAAATCACAGTCATTTTTCAGGCAGCTGAAATTAAGTACAAATGTTATGCGCTTAATGCAAATGAAACTTTATATATTTTTAAAAGAATACTTTATAAAAAGGTAAAGTTTTCTATTATGCTACTTTGAAAAGTATCTAGAAATAGCGCCTCTCACTTACATAAAGCAGATTTTAATCATTTTGTGGTTTTGTTGTTGAATTTAGAATCTATAATGTTATTTTAAATTGAAATACAAAGTGAAATTAATCAAGATTTCTGTACTATGAAAAGTTGTAAGTCTGATAATAAAACAATTATGCCCAATAAGCAACTTTTAAATCTCAGCACATTTCCAACACTGTGAAATATTTTTCAAAAACGTGATACATAAAATTAATGCTCATCATCAGTAGAATACTTTCTAATTTACAAGAATTTTTCACATCCTTTATTGCATTGGATCCTGAAAACAACCCTGTATGCTAGTAGAGGAAACATTTGTAGATTGCTCCCTCAACACTCATTTCCCCTTCCTGTATCCAAAAAGAAACCACATCATTCTCTTGGGGATCAACCTCTCCCCCGGTCTCAGCCATATGACTTGGGTAGAATTAACCCCACCCTAATACTGGTTATGGCCTAAGCAAATCAGCAAATTCTGTCTTTCAGACCTCATTAATCAGTTTGGAATGGTCACTAACCTGACACTAGTAAAACAGACACTCTTACTTTCTGGGAAAGAACTTCCTTTTTCCTTTATGGGAATCACTGTAAGATTACCTCCATTATATAGGATAAGAATGTAACATCTTGAACCAAGCTGACATAACTCCACCAAAGGGAGGATGGAAGAAAAGAGGCAAAAAAAGGAAAAGGAAGAGAGTACAGAATAGGACTGAAACCAGGAAATTTTTTGAAAAGATAAGCAAGACAAAGACAAAGGCAAAAAGAGATACCCAGACTGGAGACGCACACATGAAAAGAAAGGAGGGAACCCAGAGACAAGGAATAAGGGAAATGCAAAAAGAGAGAAACAGGACTCTGGATAAAGTGGGTTCAGAAGACAAATATATTCTCCCCACCCAATGTCTTCCAATTTAGGTGGACTTGAGCACAAGTCATTTAGTCACTGCTGCCCTTTGAACTCTATAACCAGTAAGCACAGCTCAGAGGCTATTTTGAACTGGGCAGTTGTAGTAAGTACACCTAACAGAATGTATAGATAAACAAAAGCCTTTAGAGATTTAAATCAAGATTCCTACGTAGGATATATGAGGCCCCTAACAGTCTTGGTCCAATCAAATTTTCTGACCCTATCTTCTGCCCTTCCTCACTCATATCCCAAGTTCTAGCTTTGTCATCATTTTTGTCTTTGCATTTGCTATTAGCCATGCCAAGATGTCACCTCTCTCTCCTGCCCCCTAGTGAACGCCTACCAGTTCTTCAAGACATAGCTCACTAACACCTTCAACTCTCCCACGTGACTTGGCTATTAAACCTGGAACAGATGTGTCACCTCCCTCTCCCACCAGGTTAGTCCAGGGCCTGGAAAATACAAAGTGCTCTGTTGGTTAGAGCAGGAGAAAAGGTTGTCATCTATAACTCCAAATGCTATTTTTCTCAAGATTCCTATATGTCAAAAGAAATACTTGTCCCATCACTATCTTCACTCCATGACTATCTTCATGGAGTGTCACATCCATGGATAGTCACATCCATGACTATCTTCACTCACTGAATCAAAACATGACAGGTAACCATCCAGATGGGCTCACTTTGTTGCTCTATTTCTGGTGGCTCTTGTACTTTGTGGGTACAATAGGCATGGGGAGTCTTGCTGTTTCTTTCTTACAGATGCATCTTACAGATGCTCTTTTGTGAATATCCCCTGGATATTCACTGCAGGAAAGCCTAGAGCTTGCCTGTCTCTCAATGTCAAAATTTTGGGCCTTAAAGAAGTAGGGAAGAGATATGGTCTGGATGTCAGAAACCAGAGTTTTTGCTGTGACTCTGTTGCTTAAGCAAGTCAATTTTCAGTTTCCTTGCAAGTAAAATGGGAATAAAAATTCCTACCCTACCTGCATTTATCAAGTGATTGACCTCTGTCAGGATCATATAAAATAGTAGACAAGAAAAGTATATAGCTCTAAAATAAGACATAATAGACATAATAGATGTTTATTGCTCAAAGACAGTTAATGAGTCTTAGACAGGCATGATGGCACATGCCTGCAATCCTAACACTCTGGGAGACTGAGGCAGAAGGACTGAAAGTTCAAGACCAGCCTGGGCAATTTAGCAATTTAGTAAGCTCCAGTTTCCAAAAAGGGGGTGGGGGCCTGGTGTGGCAGTGCAAGCCTGTAATCCCAGCATTCAGGAGGCTGAGGCAGGAGGATCGCTGTGAGTTTGAGGCCAGCCTGAACTACATAGCAAGACCCTGACTCAAAAAAAAAGAACTAAATAGGACTGGAGATGTAGCTCAATGAGAAGGCTCTGGGTCAAGCCCCAGTAACACGTGGGGGCGCACACATGCACACACACACACACCAAAAAATGGCTAAAATACATATCTGTGTGTGTTAATTTACACTCATGTTGAAGGAGCCCTGCCGGGTATTACAGTACACTCTCCTTCATGCCTACCCCCAGGGGAACACACATCCTACATGGTGAGTCACTACTTAGGGGCTAGAAGAGATTTAAACTCACAAGAGATTTTTTTCCAAAGCTAATTAATTTCTAATTGAGGTACAGACCAAAGCAATCTAGATAGAGATCAGAAGACCTACATAGAATCCCAACTCCAGGAGCTGCTATATAATTTGAGAGACCTGTTGCAAAATGAAAAATGTAGGGTCTCTTATTCAAAAAGTATTTAAAATGTCAAGATGAGAGCAGGATATTTAAACTAAGTCAAGCCCTCCACAACTGCACAGGCCACCTCCATGAAACCTTCACGGCTTCCATTCTTATTGGATGTGCAGCTTTCATCCAGTTACTTAACATGTATCAGGTTCTTTACATTCAGGGAAGCAAAGAAAGAGCTCAGCTATTTCTTATAACTAGCATCTGTGGTTCTTTGTGAAGGAGTAAGATCATTCATTTGACAAGAGGTCTTTTAACTTTTATTAAATTAAAATTCTGATTGTGACTCAAAGCTGTTGTTGAAAATTCATACATAGTATTTCACCTTCAACCACATTGATTTTTTTTTATTTCTATACACCTCTGTCATTTTGCCTAGGAGAAAATAATTCTCCAAAGCAGTGTTCCAAGTTTACTATTTTCCCACATATGCCATTTAAATCTGAAATTCCCAACTGAGGTCTCTATGTCTAGAAAGTAATTTTTCCCACACTAAACTGTCTCCTTGTACAAATTAGATATTTTCTTTTTTCTATCCCTGAAAAATTACTATCTATTCAGAATCAGCTTCCACATATGGTACAGCATCTGAGTCTGATCTAGTAGAAAGGAGGCAAATGTCATGTTGAAAGTGAGTTAACCTTTTTTTTCCAACATAGTACATTAACTGATAAATACCTAGACCAATGCTTCTTCTTCTGAGTTCATGGACAGAATTCTGGGAGTTAATTACTTTGAGTAAAAAAACAATTGCAGCTTCACTTTCATCGATCTGTAACTAAACTTTATTATTTTTTTCAATTATGAATGTAAACAAAAAAAACCACCAGAGTACTAGCAGTACCCATGACTCAATCACCAATAAATATTATACATATTGTCATAACATAGTTATTGCAAGTTTCTTGAATATCATTTATACTCAACATTACCTCAAAATTATAATAGTATTAGACCCATCACTGTATCTTATGGTTTAATACATTAGTAAAAATCATAATATATTATTAGAATAACTATATTTTACTATAACTTCCCTCTAATCCTACCTGACTTTATTAATTTAAAAACATGATTCCAAGGTACTAGAATACAAAAGGAGTCCATGGCACATAAAAGGTACAGAAACTCTGGTCAAAAGAAGTTACAGACCTCACATGCCAATAAAATAGAAACCAATGTATTCTTATCTCATAGTATCAATGAAACAATTCTAGTAATAAAAAAGTCTTTAAAATTCTAGTTCAACAACCTGTACATAACAAAATCTTCATGGTTCACTTATTTTAACATGAAAATAGATATTTCTTTTTCTGTTGTTTTGTTTTTTATTTTAATGGCTTTTTGTATATATGACCATAGGGTTTAATCTGAAAAGGTATAGTTCAAACACAGGTTTGAACACCATTCTCTAAAATGTTATTTAGATTGGTACCTGCGATGACAGTAGGTTACAATCAATGAACAGTCCTTTTCCAGTTTTACATCTTTGGATCAGTCCGGCCATAACAGCTCCATATGCATACAGGCCAGTGGCAAGATCAGTCATGGCCACTCCTGGGCGAACTGGATCTCCATCCTGATTTGAGGGTTAGGTTGAGAATTGAAAATTAAAACCATTACAGAATTTCTCAACTATTCTAAATAAAAGAATTTTATATGAAGTATGCAAACATACATACACAAATAAATACAACAAATTATTGTTGATGATATCTGTTAAGAGGTTTATATTTACTATATTTATTACTATATTTCTCTCCTCAAACTCTACTGAGCAAACTAAACCAAATAAAATATGATTTTTAAAAACACATATAAAGTTCCTTAAAACATTTTACCTTGTTTATACTAAAAAAAGAAGAAATAATTCAATTTGAATTTAAATAAGTTTCTTTGCTGGTGAGGAAAGAGTTAAAAAAACAAGTATTTTTCTCTCATTGAGTGAAAGGCTACCTCAGGAAAAAAAAAGGCAGAAGACTTGGCCTAATCTCTTTATAATCACTCAAATAGCTGGCAAATATCTTAATGGTTTTTGCTTTTTATAAAAAAGACATATCTATAAAAGAATGTAGCAGAAAGGCTGGGGATTTAGCTCAGTGGTTTCACCACCTGCCTTGAAAGCTCAAGGTCCCGAGTTCGATCCCCGGTACAAAAAAAAAAAAAAAAAGATGTAGCAGGAAACCCCTGGTTTAGGATTACTGCAATGAATAAACCTAACATCTATAGATTATAGGCCAGAGGGCATGTATAGGAGGTCAGCTATGCATCTAAGTATAAAATGGACATGTTTCACAGCCTATAATGCTGCTCTTTGTATTGGATAGCCTGTGTACTTTATTAAGAATTTTATTTACTGCTCTGGGCTTGGGAGTCTTGTCTGTTGTAAGAAGAATCTGGTAGCCTCTTTCAGTATCCAGGATCTTACTGCTTCACCTGTGCCTTTTGATTGCTTCTAGCTTTGAAATTATAAATGAAGTTTGATGATAATTAACACCTCCAATTTATGTCAGTCTGATTTCATAGTGCAGTCCTTGCTTCACATATAAAGATACTGGAAGGGTGTCTGACTCACCGTAAGTCCTCTATAAAAATCACCTATTGACATTATATTAGACAGTTTCTACTTTTCACTACTTTGGAATTTTGTTAAGCCTTTCATTGCACAAAATATCTAAAAACACTCACATTTCATATTTCATCTAGTTGATACACTCATTATTCATATCCCAAATGGTTACTTCCAGTAGCTGTTAAGTCATTTTCAGAAACTAATTTTTCCTTTTCTGAATCTCATGCATGTACCACATTAATCATCTTACAACAGTACTAAGCAATGTTAAAAGCAAGTAAGTGAGATATATACAGTGCCTAAAGAGTTTTTCCCTGTTTTTCAACACAATTTCAAAGAAGATATTGCCACGAAAACCAAGAATATCTAGTAGTTTCTATTATTATTGTCCAAACTTGTAATGTAATGGTTTGAATCAATAAACATATATGTCATTGGGAGTTAAGATTGTTTAATGTATTAAAAGTGAAAGACAAGACAGGGCCAGGGATTTAGCTCAAAGGAGCTGCCACCTGCCTCGCAAGCGCAAGGTCCCAAGTTCGATCCCTAGTACCAAAAAAAAAACCAAACAAAACTGAAAGACAAGTTTAAATTTAAGTTTATAGATTTTTTCTCACTACGAACTGAATGTAATTATATTTTATCCTCTATACCTCTCAGACCAGTAGGAATAATTAAGATAATAAATCTTTTAAATTATATTTTAACTTAGAGGTGGATTCCTGTAATCCCAGCACTTGGAAAGCTGAGGCAAGGGAATCTCCAAGAATTTGAGGTCAGTTTGGACTACATGGGGAGTTCAAGACCAGCCTGAACTGCATAGCAATACCCTGTCTCAAAAAAATTATATTTTAAATTTCAAAAAAAAGGGAACTACCTTTGATTAATATCTAAAAATACCATTACATTATTCAAAATAATAACAAGATGTGTAAACATTAAGTAAACATTAATAATAATTATATAACTTATAAATAATGAAATAATGTTACCCATGTATTAGAGACATCATTGCCACAGGTAAAAAAATGACTATTTGTGCTAAATAATTTTAGTCAAACACTAATTGAAAGAAACTTGCTTTTATAGTCAGAAATACAAACAGGTTGAAAATAAAAGCATGGAAAAAGATACAGTATGCAAGTCACTGTCACAAGAAAACTCAAGGGGTTTTACTAGTACCAGTTAAAATATACTTTGAAACAAAAACAATGTACCTAGAGAAAAATGGGGATATTGTGTAATTAGAAAAAGGGTTAAGGAATTTGAAAGATAGAGAAATTATAAGAAATCAGGTGTATATGAACACCTAACAACATAAATATCAGAATAAACAAACCAAAAAATGACAGTTCAAAGAAAGAAAAAGACAACTCAAGAATAAATAATAGGAAATTTCAATGGGAAAATTTGAATGAGGGATGAAACAACTAAAGAGAAGATCACAGAGAAATAAGTGATTTGAATTATAGTATAAGCCAGCCATATCTAACATATCTAAAAACTAGGTTATCTAATAACAGAATATGCATTCTTCTCAAATACAAATGGGACATTCTCTAGGACAGACCATATCCTACAATGTAAAACAAACTAAAATACATTTAAAACAAGTGAATTCACACAAAATAATGTGCCAAGACCAGAATGGGATGAAATTAGGATCAATAACAGAAGCATATTTGGGAAACTCAAAAGTATATAAAGAACAAGAGAGTAGGTCAGTGGAAGGGCACTTGCTCACATGTGCAAGACTTTGGGTTTGAGCCCCAGCACCATATATAGTGTATGTATATGTGTGTGTGTGTGTGTGTGTATGACCATAAGACCTAATATTGTTAATATGGTATTATTTTCCAAACTGATCTACAGATTCAGTGTATGTAATCCCACTTACCAAAATTCTAGGTGCTTTTTTTGCAGAAAAAAATTTGATCCTAAAATTCATATGAAAATATCAAAAACAAAATAGCCAGAATAATCTAAGGGAATAAAGTTGAAGGACTCATTCTCCTAACATCAAAACTTACTACAAAGCTATCATAATCAAGACTACACAGTACCAGCATGCAAAAAATGTATAAGCAATAAACATTTTCAGATTTATGTACAATTAGTTTTCAACAAGTTTATCAAAACATTTCAATTGAGAAAGACTTGTCTTTTCTTTAATGGTGAAAAAATACAAGAGAATAAAGTCACAGAAAGAAATTAATCCTTAGCCTTGGAGATGTAGCTCAGTGGTAATGTTTCCATAGCCTGAGAAAGGCCTGGGATTCAATCCCTAGGATTGCAAAAAAAAAAAAAAAAAATTACTTCTATGCTGTTGGTAAGAATGTAAATTAGTTTTAAAAATTATTTTTTAAATGATGTATGGAAGTTCCTAAAAAACTAAAAATAGAATTATCCTAAGATCCAGCAAGCTTACTTCCAGATATCTACACAAAGAGTTGAAATCAGTTTGTTAAGGAACATCTGCACTTCCACGTTTACTGCAGCAACTGTTCACAATAGCCAAGTTATGGAATCAACCAGTGTCCACCAACAGATGAATGGGTAAAAATGGAGTGTATATAAACAATGGAATATGATTCTACTATTAAAAGGAAGAAAGTTCTGTCATCTGCAACAACATGGATGGAATTGGCCATCATAATGCTAACTGAAACAAGCCAGGCCCAAAAGACAGACATCACATGTTTTCACAAATACGTGAAATCTGAAATAATGAAATTCACAGAAACAAGGAACAGAATAGTGTTTACCCAGGCTGGGGAAGGGGAGTGAGAGGAATGGAGAGATGATGGCCAAAGGGTATAAAACCTCATACAGGAGGAAGATACTTGTTTGTTGTTTAGTTCTATTGCACAACATAACAAATACAGTTAATAATAGAGCACTATACATTTCAATTTGTTTAGAAAGTAAATTTCAAATGTTCTTACTGCAAAATAATTTGAATATTTGATGTACTGGACATGTTAACTAGCTAAATTTAATCATTCCACATGGTAGCCATAAATTATAACACCACTTTGTATATCATAAATTTGTACAATTATAAATTAAAAACAAATTAAGCACATAAAAATTGACCTAAATATAAGATCTAAAACCAGAAAATGGAAGGAAACATAGAAATAAACCTTCATGATCCTGGAATTGGCAATGATTTCTTAAATAAGACACCATACTATGAAAATCCACATGAATAGAAAATCCTGTCATAAAAGAACTGTCAGCATGCCAGAGAACTAAGGAAATGAAAACAAATTATCATTTAATAAGCAGGAAGTCCCACAGAGAACCACACTGTGGCTGTGAAGTGAGTGCTCCCAGGTGCAACAGGACACAATCAGAGAGGGGCCTGTATGGATGCAAGGTGCTCAGTGTCCCTTCTTCACCTGGAACTCCAACACCACCCTGCTGCTGTGACAGCGCAACACATCTGCCCCTCTCTCTCTCCATTTCTCCTTCTCTCTCTCTCTCTCTCTCTCTCTCTCTCTCTCTCTCTCTGTCTTTTCCTTGTGGCACTGGGCAATGAACCCAAGGCCTTTGTAGTGAGCTACATCTCAGCCCTTTTTTATTTTTTCTTTTCACACAGTCTTGCTTGCTGTAACTTGCAATCTTCCTGCTTCAGCCTCCCAAAGTGCTGTAATTAGTCATGCACCACCATCCCCTGCTCTTTATGTCAGTAGGGATTTATCCCTCAGAATGTTTAGTAAAGAGACATTTGAGGAAAAATGGGTAAGTAACTGACTTTGGTAAACAGTAATGCTCTATAATCTTACCATAATTTATTGGAAGAAGTGGATTTAAACTTACATGTAGACTTTTAGAAATCGAGTAATATGTTTAGTGCAGTAAATAGTAATCCTGGAAACTGATAGTAGAATTTTTTTTTTTTTTTTTTTTTGGGGGTACCAGGGATCAAACTTGAGACCTTGTGCTTGCAAGGTAGGCAGTGGAACCACTGAGCTAAATCCCTGGCCCTAGAATTTTTATTT